CTTTCACTGGACGTTCAGTGCCCCTTAGGGCCCGGCCACCCACCCTCCATGCCCCTCTTCACATCAGCACGTGGGAAGCTAGTGACTGACTTCTGTTTAAATGGACTAATTTAAATTTGTGTTTCAGCAAGCGTTCCCTCTCAGAGATTTAGTTCACACCTAAAGTTGCTTAAAATAGCACTTTGCAACATTCCTTTGGAATGTTCTCAGAGGTGACAAGCTTTATTCTTTGATGTTAAGCTGTTTTTCCCCCAAGTAGCTTGAGAGTTTTTAAACCTCAGGGTGGTTGGTGGTTTTGAGGGGGGATTGAAGGGGTCACTATCAAGCAATCAGGAGCCCTTTTGAGGCCCCTGAAAGTGGGTCCCGAATACAGAGGCTTCTGCTCGGGGGGTTCTAAGGCCAGGCTGTGAAGAAGGCTGTGGGTCTTCTCCCCTGGGGAAGGCGCTGGTGTCATTTTTTCACTGAGTCTCAGGGGGCTTCGGGGACCCTCTGAAAATTCACCTCAGAACCCTTCTTCCTGAACGACAGCGGAGGTGTTCATTTTCACGTGTTGGTTCAGAGAGATTGTTTTAAGGCTGCTGCCTCAGAGTCCCAGCCCGTCTCTGAGACGTGGGTGACTGCTTAGAGCTTGAGGTTAGGAGGCCAGCACGTGTGTCTGCGAGATACAGGAGGCCTGTCCAACTTTACAGCTCTGTCACTTTATTACGTACCCTGTATTAAAAACCCATACAGGGACCTCCCCCAGCTAAAGGAGAGGAAGTGGCGGACAGATCTAAAAGGAGCTTTCAGAGAAGTTTTTGCCAAAAAAGTTAAAATGTGAGGAGGGGAGAAAGTCAAGCATGCTTGAGAAAAACACCAAATCTGAACTGTTGGTGTACAGTGTTTCCCGAGCAGTTGCTGTTTTATCTCCTCTCAAACGAGATTATCCATGTGGAAGCAGCTCGTGGCGCGGGTTCTCAGTCTGTGTGAGCTGCATACATTTCTGAGTTTCAAAAATATTTGGTGATCGTGGCATTTCCCCTCTTGTAAGGCTTTCAAGGTTTCCCATCAGCTCGTATTTTAACCCGGCATATTTTCA